CTTGACAGTGGCATTCCTGTTTGAGGTGCAGTGACGTTTAAGGGCCCAGAGATCACGAGCATCCAGTAGAGTTTTACGGCCTTGACCCTTATGCACAGCGATTGTTCCAGATTCTCTGAATCTTTTGATGATGTTATGCACCGTTGATGATGATAACTTAAAAGTCTTTGCTATTTTACGCTGGCTAACACCATTCTGGTATTGTTGCACTATCTTTCTGCGCAACAATGGTGGAATTGGTGATCCTCTTAAGATCTTGGCTTCTGAGAGACACTGACACTATGAGAAGCTCTTTTTATACCCAATCATGTTGTCAATTGACCTAATTAGTGTTAATTGGTCTTCCAGCTGTTCGTTATATGTTCAATTTCCTTTTGCCAGCCACTTATTGCTACTTGTCCCAACTTTTTTGGGATTTGTTGACACTGTGACATTTTGAATCAACATATTTTTCCTTTAGAATGTTACATTTAGGGCAGCACGGTGGCGCAACTGGTAGAGCTGCTGCCTCTCAGCGAACAGGTCCCTGGTTCAAACCCCGGTCCAGGTGCCTTCTGGGTGGAGTTTGCATGTTCTCTCCGTGCATGCGTGGGTTTTCTCCGGGTACTCCGGTTTCCTCCCACAGACCAAAAACATGCATGTTAGGCTGATTGGTAACTCTAAATTGTCCCTAGGTGTGAGTGAGAGAGTGAATGGTTGTTTGTCTCGTTTGTCTCTATGTGGCCCTGTGATGGACTTGCGACCTGTCCAGGGTGTACCCCGCCCCTCGCACAGTGATTGCTGGACATGGGCACCAGCGACCCCCGTGACCCAAAATGGAATAAACGGGTAAAGATAATGGATGGATGGATGGATGAATGTTACATTTACTCAGATTAAACTTTTGATCTGTCATCTATGTTATATTACGAATAAAATAGACATTTGCCATATCCACATCATTGCATTCAGTTTTTATTCACAATTTGTTTAGTGTCCCAACTTTTTTGGAATCCGGTTTGTAGATGGGTTGCCAAATGGCGGCCGCAGGAGCGGGCACGGGAGGACTATAACAAGAATTTAACAAGATTAACACTTAAACACAATCATTTGTTTGATCAAAATTATATCAAAAGGTGTGTCTAGCTGCATTTTGCCGGGGCGGTGCAGCGAAACCAAGCTGATTTGACGCTTGCTCCAAGCGAGCTGGACGAAGGTGGCAGGGTATGGCAAGCCGATTGTGTCACTAATAGCCACTTTCACCTATTGCATGACACAAAGGCATGCTGCACTACTCGAGTGCCATCTAGTGGCTGAAAATGATAGTGCTCAATATTTTAGTCAAAATGAATAACAAAAAAGGTTAAATCACGTCATCTGGACCTACCTGGATGATTGAGTTTACAACCTTTTCAGTCAGAATGAATGAAAACGTCATATCTCAACCAAAAATTGGTTTATAAGTATGGGGGACAAAAATCCATAAATAAGTTGGTTCGGTGTATAAGTTGCAGGGCATGCAAATTATGGAAACAAATGTGACTTATAGATGGAAAAATATGTGTGACAGGAGAGCTGCAAGAGTGGAAGGGAAGGTTTACAAGATGGTAGCGAAACCTGCTGTGATGACTGGAGATGGTGACTAATGAAAGTTGACAAAGATAAATATGTTAAGATTTTCATTGGGTGTTACCAAAATGGACAGGAATAAAAATGATTTTATCAGAGGGACAGCTCAGGTTGAAGAGTTTGGAGACAAAGTTAGAAAGACAAGGCTGAGACAGTTTGGACATGTGGAGAGGAGGGACAGTAGATATGTTGGACAAAGAATGTTGATTATGGAGCTGCTAGGGAAAAGGAGGAAAAGACAAAAACCACAGAGAAGGTTCATGACCAGTGCTTAATTTGTAAACTGATTGATGCTGGAACAGCAGGCAGGCTGGGGGAAGTGTGTGTGTGTGTGTGTGTGTGTGGGGGGGGGGGGGGGTCTCTGGGTCCTCTCACAGAAAATTGTGAATAACAGAGATGCCATTTCCTGCATTTTGGTTTATTTTAATGGGTTGTTATACATTAACATTCACCTACATTTGTAAACAATAAAATTACTATTTTGGAGAAGAACAGCAGGTTGTGTGTAAGCAGCTCTGATTCTGTCTGGTGTCCCAAACCCCCTCCTCCCCCACTTCATGGTTCGGAGCTGGACTCTTCTCCGCTCCTGCTCCAGTCTCATGGCACTGTTTGAAGCACCTGAAGGCTTCAGTTCTCTGTTGTCCAACTAAGGACAATCCATCCATCCATTTTTTTATTAAAGTAAATTGTACTGTCTTTTTGACATTTCGATTGCCATTTTGACAAATTAGCGCCATTGTTTTGAAACGTGACGTATAATGTGAATAACACATCAAACATTTCTCTCTTTGTATTTTTTTTATTTATTTTTTACAGTAAGCTGTTTTTGATTTATTATGTCTGAAATGTAGCAGGAGTTCAGACACCTGCTGATGTTGCGCGCGTTGTGTAGAGCTGTTTGGAGACGTTTCTGTGCATAACGTGCACTGTCCACAGGGCATTTATTTATTCTATTGAATAAATGATCGTTTCTGTTTCTGGGGTTTGAGAGGAGGAGAGAGGGTGTTTTTCAGTGCGCAGCACTGCTGAGCAGGGACAAGATTTGGAGAGGAGGAGAGAAGGACTAAGCACAGAATCTCTGTGCAGAAGACGATCTGTCCCTTTGTCCTCAACCCCCCCCCCCAAAAAAAAAATTTTAAAATGTGCGATGACTTTGAACTTTTAGGGACAGAGCTGCCGGATCAGAACAAAGAGATGCCGGAACAGAACGGGTCAAAATGAGAGAGCTCCCGGATCTTGTTCCGGCAGGATCCAGCTCAAATTACCCACTGTTCATGACTGTAGTGAAGGTGGATAGGCAGGGGGTTGGTGTGACAGAAGAGGACGCTGGGATAAGAGAAGATGGAGGCAAATAATCCACTAAATAATCAGCATCAGTAGAGGGAAGAATATCGTTTGTTTTTGGCACCTATGAAACAAACAAGAACAGTAATGTTAAGTAAAATGTTCTTTAAATATTGCGCGATCCCGAGTTAAAAACAGGAACTTTTATACAAAGCAGAATTTTTTTCGTTTTTGTTGACAATTTTTTTTTTTTTCCAACTTCTGTTTCCCATTACTTTTGACCTATTCCAGGCAAGATAACTTAACCAGGTCACAACAATTAAAAACACAATTAATTGATGTTCATGTTCTAAGTGTGTGACAAGCACACATTTTTGTGAAAGCAATATATATCAAGTTAACATTTGTGCCGTTATCTGTGTTGGTTTAACTGGTACAAGCAGATTTTATGAAAAAAAAAAAAGCATTTAAGATGAACCATGTGGCATTATAATGTTTCACATATTAATGTTTCACTCACCTTTCATTTGCAGGCTTTTTGCGAAGGATGCTGGGTCGTGGGGAGGAAACCAGAGTGGGAGCTCCTCCTACTCCTCCCTGAGCGTGGGCCTGCACCATGGTAGCTACTGGCTGGGTCGTGCCAAAAGTGCTGCTAATGGGACTCGCTACAAAGCCATCAGCCAGTACAACTCCTGCATTTGATTAAATATGCATAAGCAAGAAGCCACAGTTTAAACATACTGTTCTCAAAAAGGTGATGTCGGTTTAGTAAATACCAGGTTTTGCTTCAGACTGTGGTTGTTGCTGCTGCTGTGTGACATTTGGTGCCTGCTGTATTCCTTGTGTGGTAATTGATGCAGATGTGTGCAGGCTCTGAACTCCAATCTGAGCAGGCTGTATGCCCTGTGCTGCAATTGGTGCTGGCTGGATCCCCTGGGTGCTGATTTGTGCAGAGGGGAGACCAATGCGGTCCACAGCCATCAGCTGCATGTGATTAAGGTGGACCGTGGTAGCGACGCCCACTCCCGTCTGAGTGGGCAGTGCTGAACTTGGAGCTTGAGGGGTCACTTGGGGAAAAAAAACAGAATGAAAAAGTTAAAATAAGAGTTTTACACTATTGGTTTCACATGTTGCCAAACAAAAAATCTGGTACCGTCTCAGTATGGAAACCTATAAGTAAAACAACAAATCGGAAGTGCTTAAAAAAAAAAGGTAAATATAATATAATGATATAATACCCCACTTTATATCAGCTGCAGGGAACAAAGTCAAAGAAAGCAGACTGTCAATGTTCCTTGTTGCTGAAGCATTTGAATGTTGAATGTTTATAGTTTTAAAGATGAGTGTTTTTCTGGACTGGAACTGAACAGGGAATGGAAGTGAACCTTAATGTTTTTGGTACAAGATATTTAAGTGGTCAGGACATACTCTGTGTGTATATATATATATATATATATATATATATATATATATATATATATATATACACATATATATATACACA